AGGGAGGAGAGTTCTCAACAAATATATTTATCTGAATGAATTTTTTGCTTCGAGTGTTTAAAACTTGAAGATGTGTCATTTTGAGAGCGGCTTTAGTCGTTGTTTGCGCAGTATTAGTAATTTGCATACCGGCGAAGAGCGAGACATAATCCTATAGAAAACTGTATTTATTATCTCCCTTCTCAGAGCAGTGGCGAACGTGTCAAGTGGGTCAATAAATAAAATCATGAAGGGATTTCCTCCACACATTCCGGCTATTTCGTTTGAGGATAATAACATAGGTGCTTAAACGAGCAGGAAGCGAAAATTTTTTAAGGGATATTTGTTTGTTTGTTTTGTGGTTGTTGTTGTTGTTGTTGTTGTTGTTGTTGTTGTTGTTGTTGTTTTATTGAGGGGGGAGGGCAGAGTTGCCAACTATGATGAATTTAGGGACAATTTTACGGTTCTGTCGATCCAGTATGGTCAGCTAAATATCAAGAAAATTATCGAATTGGGCTGATGGACCGAATTCAGTTAGACTAATAAATATAATATATCTTTCCGCAGATTCTGTGAAGTTATGTTTTCATTATAATATACTTTGCACGTATTGTGTTCATTGTGGTCTTTTCTAGCATATTATTATTATTATTCAGTTTACATCAGTTCACCCAGCTGTAAATGAGTGCTTGCCAATAATATTGCTCTGGTAAGGGAATGCACATAACAGTAACAGGTTGCAGTGTTGTTTTTCTCCCAGGGGAGTGGAAAGGTGAAGATGTGTGGGCTATAGGTTGGGAGGGTTTTTGTGACTAATTAATTACTGTATCCTTGAGTTATTTGTTTATGACAAGAGTGCCTAGAAAGATCTATGGAAGTAAAAAATGTTCCACACATCCAGGCTTTGTAATATGGCCAAAGGCTTACTAACTTGGGCACCCTGTCGCATTATTGAACATTCAGATTCAGAAGTTTGAGAGTCAAATCTGAGAGGAAATTCCCTCCAACTCTGCTCTCCCCCTCCCCACGTAAAACACACACGCACACACATTCACACATGCACACACACGCACACACAATTTCATTCAAAAGGTACTTGTATTCTGTACCTGCACAGGTGCTCTACTTTGACCTCAGCATTAAAGTTGTGAACTTATTAAGTTGTGAATTGGCAGTGAGCTGAAGATAAAATATTTTTTCGTTTCAGGTGTTTCGCTACTTTCCAAAGATCCAGTGATGGAAGTTTGCTTCTCCTCTGCTCAATCTGCTCAAGCTGTCCCGCTTCTGGCTCATGGCTCCTAGTTTTTCTGTTCAACAGATTTGCATTCATGTCTTCAATTTCTGGCACTGTCAGGTCAGACATAGAATTCTGTTGAGCGGATTGTTTCCGATTTTCTTGTTAACACCCAGCTTCAAAAGGATACCTGGCTATCCATAGAAGTAGAGTGTGGAAATCATAGCAGTATATTCCTAACATGATGCAGCATTAGATGCACCTTAAGGAGCGGAAATAATAGTCAACTGGGTTGGACTGGTCAACAAGAGGATATATTATATTGTAAAGTTGTGTGGGGAATGTATACAACAATAAATAGGCACACTTGACTGGCTACTTGTTTTAGCTTACAATACAAGTTTTTGTCAGGTACTGTATTAGGTTCAGTGAGTTTTGAAGAATTGAAGGTGTGTATCACACTTTGTCGTATGTGCTGCGGGTAACTAAGATGGTTTGCCGTCTTTTGAGTTTTGAGACATACATCCTTCTGGACACAAAGGGAATCAGGTTCAATTCGCCTCCAGTGTTGACTATTGTTTTGCTGTTTTGCTCTTTTCTAGATTTTGCCAATTGTAAAGCCTCTGAGTGTTATAGCTAGGCAGGTTTGTCCAAATGCCTGTTATAATAATAATAAATGACATTTATATAGCGCTCAACCCCGAATAAAGTACACAGGCTCTGAGCGCTTTACAATACAGTAGGCTACAACATACAACAGTAACATAAAACGTTGTGTTCTGACAAAAGAAAATTATTCCAAATATTCATCTTATTAATTTAAAAACAGAAACGACTTCAGCTGACATTTGAATGAATCAAAAGATTTGATCTCTCTCAAAGTACTTGGTAAAGCATTCCAGATCTCGGGGCCTTGATATTCAAATACCCTTTCACCCATTGTTTTAAGTTTCATAGATGGTAAAATAAGTTTCTTTTTGTCAGCTGATGACCTTAAACTGTGAGTTGGAATGTACAGTCTTAACAGATTTGATAAATATGATGGTGCATTATCATTCAAACATTTGTGACGTAGGGTGGCCAACTTGTACACTATCCTTTTCTCAACAGGAAGCCAATGCAAAGTTCGTAAAAGAGGTTTAGCAGAGTCTCGCTTATAAAAGAGCTTTTGTACTATGCATTGTAAGAGATAGGACACAGGGATTTATTATAAGTCTACTATAGCCAAAATCCTGTTATAACTGAGACTATTCGAAGTGGGGCCCACTGTGTGTTTATATTGTACCGTCAATGTATGAAACATCTTATTCAGGAGTTATTTGTCAGAGTCAGAAGATGTTACTGAAATGTGTTTTATTTCTTATTCTGTCTAACTTACCTTGTATGTAATTATTTTCTTGCTAGTCTTCCCATTGATTTGTTACATAGCCCCCCAAATTGTTCGAAAGAAAGCAGCTCGTCCCATCTACAAGAAATGTAAAAAATGGAACTTATAACCTCTCTTGTTAAGGAATTACAATTGTTAGGTGTGACGGACTGTATTGCTTTTAAAATTTGCATTTTGATGTACAAATGTATGAACTACGTGTACTTGCACTAAAGAATTGAACAAAAAAAAGTACATACAAAACTACGACAGTGTGCCACATCAGTGCCATCAGTTTAAAAGGTATATATATAATAATGCAGTTTTACAGTTTTATTGGAGCACCAAAAACTGAACATTGTTACCTAGAAAACAAAATTTGATTTAAAGAAAACAAGGAAGTTATTATCTAAATTGCGTTCTTAAAATATTGGCTTGTGATGTTTGCAATGAGTTTCTTTTCTTGGTAACGACATTCAGTTTTTTGGGTCTCCTGTAAAATTGTAAAAACTAGATCTACATTGTGCTTTTAAAAATGATGGCTCCACTGTCCCTGAGAGGTGATGTGTGAGTGACACGCTGCTAGCAAGGTAGATGCAAGTTATGCCACCCTTGTTTTGGGGGTATATGTATGTACTCATCGAGAACAATGTTTTAAAGTTATGAGTTGTGTTGTTAAGAAGCTAGAATTTTGTGGAAAAAAAGAAAGTTGTATTTAATATGAAAAAATGTACATAATGCATGTATACATGATTTACAAGAACTTTGCTCATATTGTCCCAAGGTGCAAATATGGTATGTTTTTGTTTTCACTTGTGAAAGTTTTTTTTTATTAACATTATAGTGGTACATTCCAATCTTTTAATGCTTTTTAAAGTACACAATTGATACACGGGTGCAATATGACAGTTCATGAAGTATAAATTCTTATTTAAAATTTATTTTCTGCTTCTCTCAAATTTTATTCATGTCTTAAAATGTTTTGATTTTGTTATTTTGAAAGTGATTTTGCAGACCCTGCAATTTTATGCTTGAATTCATCAGTAACCATTCTTTTTTACGACTGTGTTTCTTTTTCATCATGAGATTCTAGTTTACATTAAGGTAAACAAATTTTTCAAAGCTTTTAGTCATTTTGATGAGTTTAAAAATTGTATAATTTCCATAATAAATAGATGCATTATATTTTGTACATCTATGTGATCTAATTGAAACTTTTTTGTGTGTGTGAATGTATAAATTGCTCTTTTTGGCACACATTCATTGTGATGATTTACTGTGTATCGGTATACCATGCAGTTGCTGTTGTTGTTTACGATCTAATTATCTGGATGAAGCGCGTCTTGGCTCCCCATGACTAGATCTAGTTGACTTTATTGATCCTGGCCAGTTTAAGTCAGCTGCTTGCTGTATCTGTACTGTACCTTTATCTGCTGGCGTTGTGCCTGACATGAATCAGCAGTGTGAAAAAAATGTTTTGTACATATGCCAAAAGTTGTTGAAAAGTGTATACATGATGTAGATACTTATAAAATCTCTTTTGTTTTGTTTTTGTTACTGCTTTTATTTCTGAAACGTGCGTGAGATGTGTGTGTGTGATTGTGTCCCAATTCGGCTCAAAATTATGGAATTTGATTTGTAGGCATTTTTAGCTTCCTCAGCCTCTCCTACAACTATTTCATCGCATGAGAACCCCCAAAAGCCTTTTTCTTCCCATACCGGGCATGTTGGTCATCACCATTTCCTCATAAAGTCAATATTTTAATTTTCTTTATCGGACGTTCTCATAACACGATTTTTCTCTATACTTTTTAAAATAACTCCACCATTTTTCATCCAATCAAATTTTCACAGAATGAAGTGAAATTTAATACTAAAAAAGATTTTGTTGAATTTTTTATATATAAATAGATTTTTGTTGTTGATGTCTGGAGTGTAGATTTTCACAGATTTTTTGCAAACTTGAGTACTACCGGTAACTCAGGAAAATATTCTTTAAAATTTCGTTTAGGAAAAAATCAACAGACACATTTGTAGATCTAATGTTAACATGCATGCAAAAAAAACCCAATCAATGTCCATAAAAAATAAGTGTGGTATTCATTACATAAGACATGTCAACAAATTCCAATATGGCCGCCGTATCCATGGAAACGAAACGTTTTTCTCAAATTTGATTGCGGATTTTAAGACTCCGTACTATGCTTATGTGTGAAATTTGGAAAATTTTTGTCCACTAATAAGCGAGATAGCCTTCAGGTGTACGCCCCCCCCCCCCCCCCCCCCTTTAAAGAGAGAGAGAGACGGAGGAGATAGAGGAGAGAGAGTGCGTGTGTGGGTGTATGTGTGTGTGCATGTGTGTGTTTGTGTGTGTGTATATGTGTGTGTTACAAGAAAAATAAACTGATCGATGACTGACTGACAAGCATTCTGATAGAGATAATTACATGTACATGTATAACATTGTCAGTCACAGAGTCACCTGATCTGTTTTGGTTATGCTGTAAATCTGATACAGCAAAGAAAATGTTCTCTTTCTTCTGGCTTTTAGTACAACTCTTTAATTTTTTGGGTCAAGGAAGAAGGATCTGGTCACTGTGGCGTAGTAATAGACTCTTGAACTGACCAGCACGTGAAAGTTGCATGAGGAAAAAAGCAGGGGATTGGAAGGCGTCACTGGCAGGTCCTACTTCATTACTTACTATTCCTCTTTTGTTTCTGTCTGTCTTGATTTTTACCAAGGGCTAAATGACCAATACTCTGTTAGTGTACTTCTCTTTACTTTGGATTGGTGCCTGTGGTGTAGCGGTTAGAGGCACTTTGCTGCCGTACGCAGAAGAGCTGAGTTCGATTCCCGAGTTGGAAGAAAAAATGGTAAGTGTCCCTGTCTTTTTGCTGGGATGTTACATTTTATCCCTCTCTGCCCGGGTTGGCCCTGACAGGAAGAACCGGAAGCCCACCTCCCAAATGTCTAAACTGTGTTGATGAGGATGTAAAAAGCATCTACATTAATTTTTTTTCTTAAAATTAAAAAGATTAAATATAATATTATATACTCTGAGAATATGAAACTGCTGAAGCTCACAACTGTATCAAACCAGCTGCCACCCTTTTTATCCCGACTGGTACTGAAGTCCTGTTGGAAGGGAGTTTGGTGGTGAGTTTGTGTGAGTCTTTAGGGAATACAAGTACAAGGCCATAGACCGTATTTCGGGGGCTCTCGTGGCCTAGAGGTTAAGGTGTTGGCCTCTCATTCAAAGGTCCCGGGTTCGAATCCGGGTAGCGACCGAAAAAATTGTCTCCTTTCACATCCTTTCCTGCTCTCTAGCAATGTTCTAT